CATCACTATAAGCGACCACCACATAAAACAACAGGCGTTTGCATAGCAACACACATCAGGTTATGCTCTAGCCGCGAGTCAATAGCGTTGAAATCACCGGCATTTCAATCTATCTATCAATCTATCAATCTATCAATCTATCAATCTATCTCTCTATAAGGAACCACAGTAAACAACAGGCATTGCTATAGCAACACGTCATGTTTATGTCTACGCGCGAGTCAATAGCGTGAAAATCACTGCATTTTCAAGGCACAGAGGGGACAAACTAACTTTCAGGAAAAGTCACAGACTGGGAGACTTGAATATTTTGTTGAAAAAAAGTTACATGCAATCAAGAAACAGCTGCGGGTAAAATTGACCCGTTGGCGGTTCTAGTGTTAATTTCCAGACTTGTAAGCCAGACCGCTTACATTTCAGTTCTGGAATAAACAAGGGTATTCCCAAAAATAGATATGAAATTTGTACAAAGTATTAGTGTGACATACAGTGGGGCAAAAAAGTATTTAGTCAGCCACCAATTGTGCAAGTTCTCCCACTTAAAAAGATGAGAGAGGCCTGTAATTTTCATCCTAGGTATACCTCAACTATGAGAGACAAAATGAGAAAAAAAAAAAAATCCAGAAAATCACATTGTCTGATTTTTAAAGAATTTATTTGCAAATTATGGTGGAAAATAAGTATTTGATCAATAACAAAAGTTCATCTCAATACTTTGTCTTATGCAGTGGGGTTTGAACCCCTCAGTGCCGGACACCAAGGCTCTATCCACTGCGCCGCACGCCTCATGATTTTCACGCTATTGACTCGCGCGTAGACATAAACATGATGTGTTGCTATAGCAACGCCTGTTGTTTACTGTGGTTCCTTATAGATAGATTGATAGATAGTTATAGATAGATAGAGAGAGACTTTGCACATATTTCATACTATCTGCACAAACTAGATATACTATGAAAGCGGAGAGTCCACAGATTCTATTGGTATACGTTTCATCACTGTGTGATCAAAACTCACTGTTAACTCTGTGTTCTAGTATAATAAATAAAAGAACATTGTACCTTGAAAATCAATGCATTCTAATAGCGGGTCAATTTTACCCGTTGGCGGTTTTAGGTATACAGCGACCCCTGGCGGTTCTGGTGTTAAGCGCCCCAATAAACATTCCTGTTTGTCATCTTGCAATATACTTATTTATATAAATAGTTATCACCGCAATAAACCGTATTTAATTTTGTCTTAATGTACATTATTTAATTTCATATCATGTTCTATTTACATGTATATAGACTTTTTGCACTACTTTGTATTTTTGTATTTTATTATATATGTTGCATTGTTGGAGGAGCTCAGGTCAGAAGAATTTCATTGCTTTGCCTTTGCATCTTGAATCTTGAATCGTTATTATTCCCGCAGCGGGAACATTTACAGTGTTAGGGCAAAAGTGGCATAGCAGGTACAAAAAGAGTAAGCTAACTTATTAAATATAGGGAAGGAAAGCACACATTAGTAATAGAATCAAAATGTAGACAAATAAGTAGACAACCATGGCTAAATAATAGTAGCAGCAATTAAAAACAAAAAACAAGTGACATAAGTTACATATTTAGGTGTTGAGACATTATAAAAGTGTCATGGTTACAGACTCAAACTGCTCCTCTGTTCAGGGTCCAACATCCTTCTGGCTCGGCTGGCCACCCGAAAGGCCAAGCCGGACGGACAGCACCTGCTGAAGCCTGAAGAGGTGGATGATTTCATCAGAGAGCTGCCAGTGACCAGCCTGCCAGGTACACAGCTCCACCTGCTGGTCATGACCGTACACATACAGTGTTTCCTGTAGAAAATATTTGATTGATTGTTGTTTTTTGTATCCAGGTGTGGGACCTGTAATGGGCAGGAAGCTGGCAGGAATGGGTGTGCGGTCGTGTGGGGATCTCCAGCAGGTTTCTCTGTCTCAGCTGCAGAAGAAGTTCGGACCCCGGACCGGACAGACTCTGTTCCGCTTCTGCAGGGGCCTCGACGAGCGGCCCGTCCGCTACGAGAAGGAGAGGAAGTCTGTCTCTGCTGAGATGAACTACAACATTCGCTTCACTAAGGTTAGACCGACCTCTCTCTGTCATGTTTCAGTCATTATTTCTGTAGTTCTTTATTTGTGCATACTTGAGACATGAGCAATTGCATAGGTGGGCTACTGTATATGCTTGCTATCAATCTAGAAAAGATTATTTCAAAATATCCCCAAAAATAAATACAAAAATACAATGTCTAGTTATAAACTACTAGTTATACTAGAGATTGAAACACCAAAGAAGTGAAAATAAATAAAAACAAGCATTGCAAATAGAAAAATGTGTACTGCTTTCATTCACTGTATTTTACTTAATTACCTGTGCTTCCATCACAATAATGATTTTAAGATAAAATAAGAAAAAGTGAAGATTCTTATCTTCTCCCCATTTCCCACCGTTCTCTAACCCTCTCTCCCCCTCCCTCTGTGTCCAGGTTGACGAGGCTGAGTCTTTCCTCAATAACTTGTCCATGGAGGTGCAGAAACGTTTACAGGACGCCGGGCTGCGGGGCCGCAGAGTGACCCTGAAGGTCATGGTGCGCAAGGCTGGAGCGCCACTGGAGCCGGCTAAATACGGAGGTCATGGCATATGTGACAACCTCGCCAGGTGAGAGAGCGACCGCCAACAATGCTCTGATCAAACAGAACCGGACTGTTGTCAGCTGATCGACCAGTGACCAGCCAATCACTGTCGTATATCAGAGTACATCACGTCGTTGGTGTGGAAGTTCTTCAGTGTAGCCAGGAGGACATAAAGCTGACAATTAGCTAACACATTAAAATCCTAAATAAGCTGTGTAGAAACAACCTTTAAGACGAGAAGGTTCTGAAAGCTGGTGCAATTCGGGAGAAAATGTATTTTTTCGTAATAGTCATGGACGTACAATTCAATTTCCAAGAATAACAAGCAACACATTTTTTCTGTAATTGTATTTCTAAGAAACTGAAGAAAACAGAAATTGGAGAAAATCTTAATTCGGCACATCAGCTTTAAGATCAGATAAGATAAGACTTTATTTATCCCGAAGGAAATTGTTATGCAAGAGTAACAAAATACAATAAACACCATAAACACAAAAGGCAAAACTGTACACTAAAAGTGCAGCAAAAACAGCAATTAAATATCTACAGACAACATAAAAAAACAAACAACAAAAAAACAGGATTAATAAAGGAAATTGAAAAAGGTGCATCTGTACCATAATCCCTGTGTTTGTAGTGATTTATAATGTCCTCTCTCCATTTCTCCATCTCCTCCGTCAGGACTGTGATGCTCGCTCAGTCCACAGACAGCGGTCAGCTGATCGCCGCTGCGGTCATCAAGCTGTTCCACGCCATGAAGCTTCAGGTCCAGGAGACGAGGGGGATCGGCATCCAGGTCCAGCTCCTCGACGGACACCACTCCGGCCCCCAAGACTCCGCGGGCCCCGGGTCTCGCTCCATCAAACAAATGTTTCTACGCCAGGGAAGTGGCAGATCCAGAAAAATAGGTCAGTGTGAAGTCTCTGTGTTTCAGGTTTTATCTTTGTTGCCGTCTGTGTCGTCCATTACTAGTGGTTCCCAACCTTTCCCCCCCCCCCACACACACACACACACACACACACACACACACACACACACACACACACACACACACACACACACACACACACACACACACACACACGTACACTACGACTACTAACTACGTAACTACAACGTAACTAAGTAGT